CTATCATTACAAAGAAAATCACAGGGTCACACCTTTTTGCAAAGTGCAATAATTAGAAATATTACATTATACATATATTTAAAAAATCTTTGAAGTTTTTTGAAATCGCAAAATCTCCGATTCCCACATGACAAAATGATCTGCAGTGTTCACATCTTTTTGCATTTAGTCTTAAATTCATAAATAATTCATTGCTTTGTATTTACTTTAAATAGAGAGTTATCATTTATCGTCAGTGCGATGCATCGCTAGTCTATGACCGACTAATCAGAATTTAAGATCAGGTGTAACGTGAAAATCACGATTTTTTCAAGAAATCGCTCGTTAACTTAAAATTTTGCTTATGAAACTACTTTCTGCGTTATAACAAAAAAAATTCCTTGTAAAATTTTGGGTTAGGAACGTCTTCGCTATTGCACATCGCTAACCCTAACCCTAATGTAACCTTGGCCTTAACCCTAAACTTAATGCAGCCTTGGCCCTAACCCTAAACCTAAACTTAATGCGTCGTTGTTTTTTTTTGTTTTGTCACGGATTGGTCGGTCATATGACTAGCGATGCATCGGCACTGGCGATGAATGATAATTATCTTAGACGGATCATCCACACGGCGGCCATCGAAGTGCTTATGATGCAGCCGCAGCATATAAATTTTACTTCACATATTCGTCGATTACTGTAGATTGGCTCTCTTTCAGCTGTATACTTATAAATTGCTAGTATGATCGTATTTAAGATCTTGCATTTTTTTAAACGGTGATTGTAATACAATGTATATACCGCTGTTGCACCATGACTACGTCACGGCACTTTTGATGACGCCCAGGATGAGAATTCTTGAATCATATATACCTAATGTTCCTGATTTGCGCAGCTACCTATGAGAATTGATTATAAACACATATTATGGTCAACCTGGGCCAGCCACCTTAATGATGCCTGATGAAACCTTATAGTTTCGTCATTGACAAAATGACGAATAGTCAGGTCACGTGAGTTTCGTCATGCATAATTAGCCGTTTTTTTTAGAATTTTGACCGCATCTTTAAATTATACGTAACACATAATAAATAATCATGTGACTAACACCTTGGGGTGTGGCCCAAATTAACTTTTAAAAAAACCCAACGTGCCGGCCCATTCCAGTGTCCAAGCTTTTTTGGGCCGACCCTGGCCCATAATTTTTTCATCAGCTCTGTATTACTAATAGCTAATAAAAAGTTTATAATTACAAAATTAAATATGTTAACTTTTTTAAATATGTTAACTTTTTTCTCCAAGTACCATTTATTAAAATTAAAAAAAAAATTTACTGTTAAAAAAAAAAATCGTATTTAAAAAAGAGAAAATTTTATATACTTTATATATTTGAACTTAAAACTAATAAAGAAAATTTTATTATACACTTAGAAAAATTAATAGTAAATAATAAATAAATAATAATAATAAATTTGTTTTTCGTAAATCTTTAATTAATATTTTATTTTATTATATGATCTGTTAAGAAAAAAATATATATACGTAAAATATTTGAATATATTCTTTGTAGTATAATAAATATATAAAAAAATCATATAATAAACGTAAAAACTTTAATTAAAAAAATAAATAAGTAAAATTCATACGTATTTAATTTTTCTGTAGAAAAATAAGTAGTTAAATATTTTTCACAATGAAATATCTAATTGTAAAATCGAAGTATTGTCAAATCAATTCGAGATAATCTGTGTAGAATCCCTTTAAACAATTGCCATATTTGATTGTATTAATTTGATTCGCTAAAATCATGTAAAACATTACGTAAATTTTGAATAAAATTTCAAATCATGTGAAACTTCCTAAACTATAAACTTAATTTTTTTTTCAAAAACCAAAAAATATAACGATAAGTCGTACTTGTATAACTAGTAAATATACATTCAAATTTAGATATTGTGTGATCTATAATAAGAAGTCTTAAATCAACTTTGAAAAAGTACAAATGACAACAATATGGTATTAATAATATTATTACGTATCAAAAAAATCATGGTTTAAAAAAAAATTTAGAATATCCAAATAAATTGTTCGCTAATCATTTATCTCCTGAAACATTATATCATTATATAGTATGCGGAATTACAATGACAGCTGCGTGCATGACAATATAAGTATTGTGTATGATATAACGATCATTGCCTTTTATGAACATGATAATATAAATATTGTGAAACTTTTAAAAAGCCTTTTGACAAGTGCATATATATAAGTGTTATATCGCCTCAAAAATTTCAACCTATAAGGATGTCAAGCATTATCGTTTCCCGTCTTCCTCCGGAAATACTTCAAGATATATTCAAATATAATGTTGAGATCAAAACTCATCACTCACGTTATAAGGATCTAGCAACATCATGTCTTTTAGTAAACCGTTATTGGTGCATGAACGCTATTTCAATAATTTGGGAAGAACCTCTAAACATTTGTGTAGACAATGAAAAATCTTTAGAAAAAATCCTTAAAATATATATCTCAAACCTTCCAAGAAAATCAAAGTTACTATTAATCAAAAATTCTGAGTGTCAGTTCGAAATTTCTTCAAAACAACCGACATTTAATTATGCCTCCTTTTTACAAAAGCTCGAATTACAAAGTCTTTATGATACTATCAATAGATTCATACTACAAAAAACTTATTATACCACTTATACATATCAAAAAACTGCTAAACAACGCATTGGTCTATTAAGAGAATTAGTCAAACATTTCATTTCTGAAAGTCCAAAATTAAATTATCAAATTAATATGAATTCAATTAAATGGGATGAATCAATTCAATTTGGAAGTTTGCTCGACATTATTCCATCAAATTCTACACTTGACAAACTTTTTTGTTTCACAAGTCATACACCAGAAATTTATCATAAAATTTCTAAAATTTTTTCTGATATAAATGATTTACAAATATTTTGTAATTTGAAAGATAACACAGCACTAGCTTCTTTAATCAACACACTACCAACTTCACCATTAAAATTAACATTATATAGGTGTTCTATGCCAACAACTTCAATTACTAAATCTCTTAGTTCAAAATTAAATAATCTAACTTCTTTGATTATTCATGAACGTGGTTCAATTCCTTTGGAAACTTTTAAAGAATGCACTAAATTAAAATTATTTCAATTGGATAACTTTAAACACCATCATTTTGATGATGCTACAAAGGATGCTGATGAATTAAAAGATATTATAAATTATAAATCTTTAAATAATCTTGATGAATTTGATTTATATCAACTTGCTGTGAATAATTTACATGTTTCAAATATACTTCAAAATACGAACAATAATCTTAAAGTATTAAGGATTAAATGGATTAAATCGGTTGATCCTGAGAATGAAGAATTATTATTTAAGTCAATTATGGAGAATTGTACAATGCTGAATGAATTAGTAATTTCGTTAACTACATCTGCAATAAAATATTTTCCATCATGCATTCGTACACTTACACGTCTTCAAAATTTGACAATTGATAGATATGAAGATGATCAATCATTAGATGAAGATATGTGTACTTGGGCGGAAATTCTTGGTATAAATATTTCAATGTCTATAAAAATACTTTTATTAGATAGAAATTTACAATTGAACAATGAAGCATTTGATAAATTTCTTTGTCAATGTTATAATAGAGGTATAAAAAATTTACATTTAATAGTGGATAGACCTAGATTTATTCAAATAGATGAAAAAATTAAAGAAACTTTGATGAAATATATTCAATCAGGAACGTTGAATTCAGAAACAAATTTATAACATTCTATTATAATAAAAAAAAATTTTCATCAAACATTTATTATTTGTCTTATAATTAGAATTTCGGAAAATGTTAAAAAAAAATTTTTAATAATTTTGGTTCTAGATTTTTGATTAACCGTTAAAATATGGGATAGGCTAAGATTTTCAGATGATAATATTTAATAACAAAGGTTGGCGTAGTTATTCTGCATTCTACAATAGATTAATAGAAGAAATAGACTCCCCAATATAATATTGTAATTACTATAAAATATTCAATTTTATATCTTTGATTAATAAAAAATAAATTACGGGTTTAATTATATTACACAACTTCTATTTTGATAAATATTTGTTTTTTTTTTTTTAAAAAAAAAAAACTTGAGTGGAGATATATTTTTACAAAATTCGATAAAAAAATTTTATTTGAATTTTAACTGGTCGAATATTTAGCCCAAAAAAGTAAATATTTTATTAATAAAACGTTGAATTAGGGCTTGGTTATTACCGTACATGTAAAATTTAGCTAGGAATTTATTAAGGGTAAATCGTTTCACGTGATATCGCCCAACCAACTCAAGATCATGTATAACGTAAACATATTTCACAGATTAACATATGAAAATTTCCTTTTTTGGGCTTGTATCACTTGCAGAAAATAAGTATACGCGACAAAACCTGGCACAGAATTTTTGACTGTGCTTGTGCAACGAAATAATTTCACGTCAGAATCTGCTTTTTTCTATTGTTATGACAAAGGTTAGTAGGTACGTAATTATTGTTTGTAATACTGGCATCAAACAGCTCCTACGCTCGTATGGCCCTTCACATCCCTGTGGACGACATACGGCCGATGCTTGGTAGGAAATTTCTTAAACATCTCGCAGTACGTTTCGTTGTACTCCTATTGTGTAGCACACTAAGGGATTCTTGACCAGAAGCTGAGCCAATATTCTACGCCTACATGATCCTTCACATTTTTGTGGACGACACGTAGTTGATGTTTGGAAAGAGAACTTCTTAGACACCTCGCAGGACGCTAGTCCTCCTGTGCAGCCACGCTAAGAAACTCTTGACCAAATATTGTCTGTCACTAAACTAGTTCTTTTAAGCACACAAGATCAAATACTAATTATTCTGTTTTTTTTTTTTGGAGTCTGTCTCCTCCTTTTTTAAGAAAAAAGTATATTCAGAATGGTCGATTTCTGTCTGTCTCGATATTGTTTGAAGTAATAATGATATAAATTCTAATGACATTGAACACATAAAGAAGAAACTCTAATTAATTAGTGATGTCCAAACAATTTATCTTATGCACGTCAAAAAGCTCTTTCCATTTACTCCTCTTTTGACAAGGTGATCAAAAGGCCCTAAATTCTGAATATGTTTCAAATGATGATAAAAGAAGGTAATTAGTAATTTTTTATGAATAAAAGCCAGCTCTAATACTCGTGTGCATTTATAAGATTCATTCTCATTATCCTTTTAAGTATGGAAGCATAAAAATACAGAAAAAAAATCACAGTCTGGATCATATAACTCAAAGTATAGTTGATAGAAAGTCAGCCGATATATTAACATGGACTGAAAGTGGAGAGATATTCGTGAGCGAACAATTAGGGCCTCCATCAAAATTAGATTTAACAAAATTTGCGACAGATTTATTTAAACTATATATAGAACTGAGAGACTGCTGGTGATACTAGCTATAGTAATCGTGTTGTATTTTGCGTGTTGGGGAAATTTTTCAAGATAAAGAAGTTGCTTATGTGGAAGGATGAGGTATATCTATATGAAGAATTTGGACCCTTAACTATCGCATCTCATTGCAATAAAATATGCAATGAAACAGGAATGTTAAGACCATTAGAATTTATTGAGTTTTGTTTATCTTTCTTATATCTTCGATATCTTCAATTAAATAATTAATTGATTAAATTCTCTTACATTCTCAATTTCTTAATTGTTACGTTGCAGTTGATTATAAAGGATGAAGTTACAAAAAAAAAAAAAAAAAGTCGAAGCCAGTGAATGTGATAATGATTAAATACAATTATTAAAAAAAAAAATTTTTACCAACTCGTCCTTCACCAATTAAAAAAATTAAAACTTAAGATTAATACGGTATATAAAAATTTAATATTAACACTTCATGATCAAAATTAGGGTAGCTATAAGTACGTATTTAAAATCTACAATTCATGTTCATAAATATTTACCTTTTTATTTGGGTTAATTTAGAAATCATGTTCATAAATATTTATCATTAAATAACCATTTTATTCGTGTTAATTTAGTTGGTGAAACATAAAGGTCACTTGCTTAAGAATCGCATAAAATATGGATATTGTAATGAAAATAACACGAATAATGCATGATGTAAAACATGTGGTCCCGACAAGGATATTGATGACTTTCTGAAAGACTTTCAACTTAGATTCGTATAAGGTAGTGATTGAATAGATTCCTTTTGATCGACTAGATAATATTGAAAATATTAGTAAGGGAGGAGTTGGTTCTGTATTTTCAGTATTCTGGTTGGATGGTATACAAAAAAACTGATGGTAACAGAGGAGCGCGTAAACCTAGAATTGTTGCACTCAAGACCTTGTCTACCGAAAACCTTCTCGATTTTTTGAAGGAAGTAAGTGAGAGGTAGTAATATGGTGTCAGGGAAATAAGCAACAATGGAAAACCAATTATTTAATTAAAAAAATTTTTTCCTAAAAAAAAAAAAAAAAAAAAAAAAAAAAAAAAAAAAAAAACCCCACCGAACCCCCCACGAACAACACAACACGCAAAAAAAAAAAATAGAACAAATTTTTTTGGGTTTAAAACATTTGGTA